TCCTTACCTTAAAAGAAGCCGCAGGTGCCATCGTTGTGAAGGGCAGCCAGTGTCCCTTTCTACAAGCCATGGCTGTGGAGACCAGCTGAAGATGGTGTTGGCAGTGTTGGCAATGATGGTGGGGGCGGTGGGAGCAGCAGGGGACAGGGGGTCAGGGTTTTTTAAACTACCCCCCCCACAAATCAACAAATAAATTCATGCTTCGTCAGTTCATGGGGGAGTTTTGTGCTTTGTCAACTCTAAAGCAGGACGACTCACCAAAATGGTGAGTCGTGCTTTGTCAAATCTAAAGCAGGACGACTCGCCAAAATGGTCAGTCATCGCCATCTCTAATTGCTACTTAGGAAAGCTGAGGCAGACAAATTTGTCTGACACCCCCTACCCCCCTTCAAAGCAATTGAAACACTCCCTTGAAGTGTGTTATCCCTCTTTCCCCTTTTGTTTTGTAGGTTTTTCTATTGTTTCAAAAACCCATTTGTTCAACAGCAACCAAGGGATGAAAGAAATCTCAATGTGCTCCATACAAAGGAGTGTCCTTCTCAAACCACTTTGGGCTGTCTTCAAAACCGTGGTCAAAGATGGAGTTCCAGTAAGAGCAAGGATGTTCCGAACATTTGTTGAAATTCCTCCCCTAGGTTCAAGAATGGCTGTATCGACCTTTAAGGACAACAGGAATATTTGAAACAGGTTAAGAGCTGGGCTGAGGGATTTCACCTTTGCCTTTCTGGGTGGGCCTTCATGGAAAATATGTGGCCTGATAGAAGTGAGGGAATGTTAGCAATTACACGCAAGCAGTTTGTAAAAGAATGCATGGAAGAAAACCTCTCCATTATCAATGTATCCTTGGGACCTATCCATGCCGTCTGTGAGGAGGACAGGAGCATGGATGTCCCTGTTGGCAGTCCATAAGGCTCCAACCCCTTCCAAGAAATTCCTGGCTTGTGTGGCTAATGATTTTCTCCAACAAAAAGCAGACAATCACACAGAATGGAAACAAACCATAATGCAGCAATCCTAACCATACCAAAAAGGTAGAAGCCCATGTCAGGGGCCCAGAAGGGTACAGGTAGGAACACTCTGCGGATGGACTGGTTCACTGCAATGATTGCATCATGTGATTACCAGAAAAAGGAGTGAACCAGCCTGTCCCGGCAGCCGATGAAACAGTCAGGCCTATCTGATTGCACCCTCAAAGATTCAATGGGACTCATTTGAGTGCCATCCCATTCATTCTGTTTTAATTGGGATTAACAATAGGATGTACCTTTTTATAATTTTTGAATACTCATAAATAAATACACAAATAAACAATCTGTCTCCACTTTAGTATCTTACAAGAGACAACAGTAATAGGTAGCCAGGATGCAGTTCCATTCTAATCCAGCCATATTCTACAAAGGAAGGAAGGAAGCTGAAGTGTTTCCAAATGGAAGATTTCTCCAAACCGTAGTTGCAGCAGTATCAGCCTGCTTGACAGCTATAAGTCACGTTGGGCTGCTGCTGTTCAGTATCATGCTGATGGTTAGCTG